CCTTTCCTGGAACTCGCTTTGGAGACCAGGCTGGCCTCGAACTCACAGAGATCCGCCTGCCTCTGCCTCCCAAGTGCTGGGATTAAAGGCGTGTGCCGCCGCCACCCTGCTGAGGACCCTATCTTAACTCAGTGGGTGAGTATAGGAGAGATGAGACGTATGAGTTGGGGGCCAGGGGTCCCCCTGAGAGGGCATTGGGAGCTGAGAGCTGGCAGAGAGGCTCAGGTATCTTGGTTGGTGTCCTAGAGTTTTGGCCCTGGGTTGTACCACCATAAAGTGTCCCATAGCCTGTTCCGTCTTCAAAGCTCAGGGTCCTAGACCTCTGTGGGCCCAGGGTCACAAGCTGCCCTCTTTTCTGTGGGTCTTAGCCCTGAGGTTTTGACCAGTGCCAAGATGCTTTAAGGCCTGTTCTCAACATCTTGGGCCTGCAGTAGTTTGGCACCAGAAGGCCACCGTCATTTAGCTCAGAGGGCCGTAGTGTTGCAGACAGCTTCCTTCTCCTCCTGCCTGCCCCTTCCATTTCTCTGGTACATTCATTGTGCTGATGACACAGAGACTCCTGTGTCTACAGACGTACACCTTGAGCTTCCTAATTTGGAGTCACTGTGGCTCCATCTGTGATGGAATTGGGGTGGGGGAGGGGTCCTTCAGCACCAGCGCTGCCCTGTGTTTTCAGCCAAGCTGGCTTCATTTCTCCTGTCTAGCCTGGAGCAGACCAGCTTGTGGGCTCTGAAGGAACGTGACCTTTGTTCACATCCAGTTAACTCGGAGGGAGGGAGGAGGAAAATGAACTATCTCTGATGGCCCTGGTGCCAGAGCCCTTTACCCGCGCCGGGTTTTAGGTGTGGCCATGGTGGTTTCTATTTGCTTTCTGCCAGTACAATCCTAGAATATTCTGGTCTCACCAAGGACTTCTTTACGGCTTATTAAGCTTTTTAAAAATAAAAGCACCCGCCGCTCCCGGGCCAGGATATAGTAGCATATCTGGTTTTTTGTTTTGCTGTATTTTGCCC